GTGTTGAAAATTGTGACGGTTGCGGAGCGCGCTTAAATGGTAGTCTAAACCAGCCCGCAAAATGTCGTCCGGAACAATCTGGGAGAGAAAACCGTTTTTTTATAATATAACTCCCGTAGGGCCGGAACAGAGGTTTTGTCTGCGGAAGCGTGGGGACGAGGTAGCCAGCGCACCGGCGGCAAGCGAAAGAGAAAAGGGGAAGGGGGGGGGGGGGGGGGCTATTCAATATTGTCACGGGTGGTGACCAAACAAAAAACAGGAAATAAACAGAAAGAAATAAACGTTTAATGTGGCGAACTTGTGCCAAAAAAATAAAGAAGGAAACAGAAGAAAGCAGAGCGTCGCGGGCGTCGAAGTCGGCGTGTCAGCAGAATCGAGCGCTAGGGCGAGACTGACTCGACAAGGTCGCGAGCGGCCTCTTATCTAGAGTGCGCCGCTATCTCGAAGATTCGGCGAAAGCGGTTCGAGCGTCGCGTGATCGGGGCGAGAATGAACACGCACTTTCTAGAAAACAAAAGCAGGGATAAATGATAGAAGTTACGTGCGGTACATGAATAAACGGGAACTTTCTGGAGGACCGTGACCGAGCGTTGCTTTCTCAGCCTTGCGCGCGGCATTACTCCCCCCTTTAAAAGTGCATCGCCCCGATGCAGTGTAAAACAAATCAAAATAAAAAGAACGATAAACTAAAGAGTCTTTTGGAGCACAAAAGGTCCACAGTCCTATCGAGCGTAGTACGGCTTCAGGCGCACGACGTGGACGACCTCAGGTCGTGGTGGGCGGCGTGACGATGTTCGTGTTCCGTCGGGCATCACCTCGTAGTTCAGCTCGCCGAGGCGACGAAGTACCTTGTATGGTCCAAAGTACCGTTTCAGCAGTTTCTCACTGAGGCCGCGGCGACGGATGGGCATCCATACCCACACCCTATCTCCGGGCTGGAAGTGGACGTCCCTGCGACGAAGGTTGTAGCGGCCGGCGTCGACGCGTTGCTGGTCTTGAATCAGGAGTCGGGCGAGCTGGCGAACTTCTTCGGCGCGTTGAGCAACCGCCTGGGCGTCGTCGCTCTCGTTGTCAGATGGCTCATGGGGCAGCATGGCGTCCAGCATGGTCGTTACCTTCCGACCATGTGCCAGCTGGAAAGGGGTGAATCCAGTGGTCTCTTGAACCGCCGTATTGTAGGCGAACGTGACGTAGGGCAGCACCTCGTCCCACGTCTTGTGCTCTACGTCGACGTACATAGAGATCATATCGGCGATTGTCTTGTTCAGTCGCTCGGTCAGTCCGTTGGTCTGCGGGTGGTATGCAGTGGTTCGACGATGGCCGGTGCCACTGAGACGAAGGATCTCTTGCGTCAGCTGGGCCATGAACGAAGATCCGCGATCTGTAATCAGAACCTCGGGAGCGCCGTGCCGGAGGACGATGGACTCGATGAAAAACTTGGCGACTTCCACAGCAGTCCCTGAAGGAAGAGCTTTCGTTTCGGCGTACCGCGTGAGATAATCTGTGGCGACGATGATCCAGCGGTTCCCCGACGTCGAAGGCGGAAAAGGACCAAGTAGATCCATTCCGATCTGCTGGAAGGGTGTAGTTGGAGGAGAAATGGGCTGCAGAAGTCCGGCCGGCCTCGTCGGCGGTTTCTTGTGTCGCTGGCACTCGTGGCATGATCGTGTGTATAGGTGGACGGTCTTGGGGAGCTTCGGCCAGTAATACTTTTCACGAATACGGGCCAGTGTCCGGCTGTAACCAAGGTGTCCGGATGTCGGGTCGTCGTGGCAGGCTTGGAAGATCTCCTCTCGAAGGTGACTCGGGATTACCAGCAACCAAGGTGTGTTGTTGTTGCCGAAATTCTCTTTGTAGAGTACACCTTGTCGGATGGCGAAGGTCGGCAGTACTCGTGAGAAGACACGTGGCACGGTACTCCTGCCCCCTTCCAGGTGCTCGATTAATGCGCGCAGCTCAGGATCGTCCCGTTGACGTCGTGCCATATCGTCGGTGTTCACTGCTCCTAGAAAGCACTCGTCGTCATTGTCGTCGCTGCAGCCGGAAGGGGTTTCGACGGGGGCTCTGGACAGGCAGTCGGCGTCGCTGTGCTTGCGGCCTGACTTATAAACCACTGTCATGTTGAACTCTTGTAGTCGAAGACTCCATCGAGCGAGGCGTCCTGACGGGTCCTTCAGCTTCGCAAGCCAGCAGAGCGAGTGGTGGTCCGTGACTACACGGAACGGGCTGCCGTACAAGTACGGACGAAACTTCGTTATTGCCCAGACGACCGCAAGGCATTCTTTCTCAGTTGTGGAGTAATTTTTCTCCGCCTTGGACAATGTCCGACTTGCGTAGGCGATGACTCGCTCGATGCCTTCTTGCACTTGGACTAGTACTGCGCCCAGTCCCGCGTTACTTGCGTCCGTGTGAATTTCTGTTTCCGCATCCTGGTCGAAATGTCCAAGCACAGGAGAAGTCTGGAGTCGTCGTTTCAGTTCGTCGAATGCCTGCTGTTGCTCCTCGGCCCATTCGAACTTCTTGGCGTCCTTCGTGAGATTCGTAAGTGGTGCGGAAATCCTTGCGAAATCCCGAACGAAGCGTCGATAATAGGCACAAAGTCCAAGGAATCTTCGCACGGCCTTCTTATCTGTCGGCGCTGGAAATGCCGCGACGGCGCGAGTCTTCTCGGGGTCTGGGCGGACGCCTTCGTTACTAACCACGTGGCCAAGGAACTTCAGTTCGTCATAGGCGAACCGGCACTTTGACGGCTTGAGTGTGAGTCCGGCGGTCTGAATGGCTTGAAGAACAGCTCGGAGTCGTCTCAAGTGTTCGTCGAAGTCAGCTGAAAATACTACGACGTCGTCAAGGTAGACGAGACAACTCTGCCACTTCAGCCCTGCCAGTACGGTGTCCATGACACGCTGGAAAGTTGCTGGCGCTGTGCATAGTCCGAAGGGCATCACCTTGAACTCGTACAGTCCATCCGGCGTGACGAAGGCTGTCTTCTCTCGGTCCCGTTCGTCGACCTCGATTTGCCAGTAGCCGCTCTTCAGGTCCATCGATGAAAAGTATCGAGAGTGGCGCAGCCGGTCTAGAGTGTCGTCGATGCGGGGGAGTGGGTAGACGTCTTTCTTCGTAACCGTGTTTAGCTGCCGGTAGTCCACGCAGAACCGAAGAGTTCCGTCCTTCTTCTTAACCAGCACGACTGGAGAGGCCCATGGACTGCTTGAAGGTTGGATTATGTCGTCATTCAGCATCTCTTGAACTTGCTGATGGATCACCTCCCTTTCCTTAGCGGAGACTCTGTACGGCGATCGATGCACAGGGCGCGCGTCGTCCTCAGTAACGATGCGGTGCTTGGCAACCGCGGTCTGGCGCACCTTCGACGACGTCGCAAAGCAGTCGCGGTATTCGGCGAGGAGGTTAACCAGCTGACGCCGTTCAGGGTCCGGAAGCTTAGGGTCAATGTCGAGCTGCGCTGGCGACGTACTGTCTTGCTGGGGCGGCGAGGATTCGTCAGTGATCGCAGTGATTTCGGCGGGGTTTCGGAGTTTCTCGACGTGGCCCACGGCTGCACCTTTCGTGAGGTGTTGCGTTTCGTTTCGGAAGTTCGTCACGAGGGCCACAGTCCGCCCATCCTGAAGTTCAGCTACTCCCCTTGCGACGCCTATGCCTCTTCCCAGGAGCAATTGGAGGCTTCCCTCGAGAAGAACTTCGCCACAGGAAGCTTCATCGATCCCGACAAGTACGAAAACACTCGACCGCGGTGGTAGGTTTACGTGGTTTGCGAGGACTCGGACCGTGGGTGACGTCGCTTCGGGTTCCTCCGCTGGTGGAGCAGGTTTTCGTAGCGTCAGCCGGTTTGTTCCGAGGTCGATGACGGCGCCATACTCGCAGAGAAAGTCCATTCCGAGGATAACGTCCCTCGAACAGTCTTGCAGAACGACGAACTTGACAGGGCACGTTTCCCGCGACGCTCTGCTTTCTTCTGTTTCCTTCTTTATTTTTTTTTTTTTTATTTCTTTCAAAAAAATAAAGAAGGAAACAGAAGAAAGCAGAGCGTCGCGGGCGTCGAAGTCGGCGTGTCAGCAGAATCGAGCGCTAGGGCGAGACTGACTCGACAAGGTCGCGAGCGGCCTCTTATCTAGAGTGCGCCGCTATCTCGAAGATTCGGCGAAAGCGGTTCGAGCGTCGCGTGATCGGGGCGAGAATGAACACGCACTTTCTAGAAAACAAAAGCAGGGATAAATGATAGAAGTTACGTGCGGTACATGAATAAACGGGAACTTTCTGGAGGACCGTGACCGAGCGTTGCTTTCTCAGCCTTGCGCGCGGCAATATCTACAAGTTTTAGTCCGGGCTCTCGGAGCAGGAAAACGTCACCATTGGTGCCACAGGCGACGTCACTTCCAACTCCCGGACGTTCCCGCACAAGCGTTTTGCGGGCTGGTTTGGATCGCCGTTTGGTTTTCAGACATACACCGCGCAAAGTGCACGGCTTTTCTTCTCGCCTCCTCGCTGCCGTGTCCTTCTCTCTTTTGTTGTCGGTATAATGGGAATCGACAACAAAAGCGGAGATATTGACGACCGCCAGCAGAGCTGTGTCAGTGGCTTTCCGTACCCACGAGGATGAGCACTCTCCAGGCCTCTGTCCAAGGACTTGGGCAGAAGGTAGCTTTCCCCACGTCAAAGAGGACATCTCAAAGCGGACCGCAACCGGAGGAAAACCTTCACTTACTGTAGAGCAAATTCCGTTCACGACATCTACTGTGTGCTGTTCGGACAGCCCTTTAGCGGTGCAATCTAAAGCACAGGGTCGACTTGGATTGAGGTAACACGATATAGCAAATGTTTACAAACAAGCGCTCGTCTGCCCACACCAGGTGCGGGCACTGCAAATACAAGTTTCGCGAGAAGTAAAGCCTCTGCGCCGTGCCGATTGTAACGCCACCGCAGCGTTATGACGTCAGTGCAGCGTATTGGTGTTTAAGTGCCGTGCTATATTTTTTGATCGGCAGACATCGTGCTGAAGCCCAGTCCGTCCGTGACCCTGAGGAGCACAGGGGGGATCGTGGACCTTTTTGTGTTCATGGGGCCGTCGCCCGAGGCCGTAGTCCAGCAGTACACGGCATTGGTGGGGAGGCCCTTCATGCCGCCCTACTGGGCGCTGGGCTTCCACCTCAGCCGGTGGGGCTACAACAGCATCGACGATGTCAAAGAGACCAGGAAGCGGAACCTCAAGGCCGGCCTTCCTATCGTGAGCCATACCCCCATATTCGACAGTTTACTGAGTACGCGTAGATTTGAGTATCCCAAACAACCCAACCTTGAGTGCTCCTAAAATAACTGTATAAGCTCCGTTTGCGGAACACAGTAACGCAACCACCATCCATTGTGTGGGAGAACACTTTTCAATATATACTCTCTCCAGAGCTTTTTAATTGGGAGCCAGTTTGTTTTCTTCCCCCCTTCTTTTTTTGGCAACTTCTTATTATCAGTCAAGTGGTCATACGAGTTTAAACTATTCAGAAGCGCAGCAGGTAAGCGGTTTTATATAGCGCCAAGCTTTGACCGGAACTTAATTTTTGCGGTGGGTTCGTAAATAAAAGCGCATACGCTGACGCCTAACGAGCCGGAAGATTCTTCAGCTTATAAACGTTGTGTGTTCTAGTTAGTATATGTTGGTACGGTGCACCAAGCTACCCGTGCTTCTCGGACAACATGGGCAAGAAAGCCAGATGTCAGCTCCTTGAGCGCGGAAGAACGAATAGACTTTACTCAAAACAAACACGGCGCTATACCCACATCTGGCACGCCTGCGCATTGTTCGTGGCGTAACCTCAGAAATGTCCACACTCAACATAATATTCTACATCTCTCCCCCCCCCCCCCCCCCACCCCTTCCCTTAATAACGTTGAAAGGAGGCAACGCACTTCATTGAGGAAAAAGAAAAGCTTGACGTTGTAAGTTCAGTTTCATGGGAGGAATCACTTGCCTCCCGGAAAGGGTCGCGTACTTTCGGCCCGCGAGGCCATCTCTGGCATTTGAAGACAAGGATGGAAACGATGGGAGCACTGACAGGGATACCGCTAGACAGGGAGAGTCGCCAGAAAGGCTGCTGAGCGAACTACGTCTGGACGCTGAGGCAGCTTGGGGCGACGAAAGATCCCTCCAACTCCTCGGGGTGCTGGGAGCTGGTGTAATAAGTGCCATTCCATCACGTCCTTCTCTGTAGAGCACCAAGTTCCGCCAATTCCGCTGCAGAACGGCTTCGGGTCCCGTTTCCACAATGTAGGACCTTGGCCGCTGTGTCGAGCTAAGCACTGTGCCTCGCAGCCTGTCTGGCTGAAGCCCCAACGGGGTGCCAACTTGAAGTCTGGGTAATGCTTGAGCTTGATGACGGTTGTTGAAATCTGCAGCCTGTTTTTAGCAGCCTGTTTTTTACGGTAGCTGGCTTCTCTTGCGACTGCTTGGTCTTGTATTGGACAAAGAGGCTGCAGCTGTTTGTCCCTTCTTGGTACTCATGTACTGAGTTGGCGGCCCATCGGCAGTTGCGCGGTGCAAGAGCCTGTGACGCCCGGCGTGTGTCTGTAGCCGACTAACCAGGAGGACCAACAAGCAGAAAGGGGGAAGCTTACTCTCCATTCTTTTCTCTTTTCTCCTTGCCGTTTTTCCCGCGAGATAAAACAAAAGGAAAGACCCCTTCTTTTTTTGTCGCCGTTTAGGATTAGAAAATATTAGTCTACCGGTGAGTTAGTAACCACTCAAAGAAATGCAAAAGCCGCACCTTTTTTCCTCTCCACTCCCCCCCCCCCCCCCCCCCCCCTTAACGCTAGCCTTCACTTTGACCCTCGGATTTGATGTACCAACAGTACCGTAAACGCTACGTGCCTGTCGGACCAGTCATGCATCATTTCTCTCCCCACGTGGTACCCACGCGCAGAGATCGGGGTCAGGCGATAGAAGGAAGCGGTGGAATAGTCCAGCCGCCCCGTAATGTCATGGGGTGGCCGGCTTTTAGCTTAACAGCACCGCAACACACCACCGCACCGTCATCTTTTAGCTGAGCAGAATATAAACTAAAAGTGAAGAAAGCCAAACCGCTATTCTTCTCGCATCCTGGCTTCTGCTTGCCAAATCGGGTTCCTCACGTGGTTCGTTCATTTCAACAGCTGCTTATACTCGTTTTCACCTTAAAGGGCCCATAAAACAAATTTCTGACTGGGATGAATGAATTTCGATTGGTATTTTACTAATAGCATATCGTTTAGTGGGCCAAAAGAAAGAAGGTAGAATGTCAAAAGCTTGGTTCTCAGTACGAAATTTTGAAAACACAGCGGACCATTTCGTACCTCCTTCCCTTCGTAAGCTCTCTGCGTTTTCACTGTGATACATACGCGGTATTCAAAGCTCGTCACCGGGCCCAAACGCACGTCACACGACACCTGGACCTCACTTATTCGTTTCGCCCCCAAGCTGACAGAGCGGTGGAAGCAATGCGCCTGCCGGACCAATCAGCCGTCTCCCTTTCATCACCCGACCTCATTCTTTGCGCGTATGCGGAAAAGAGAGTTATAAAATGGCAAAAGTGTAACTGTCCCAACGAGCACGTAGCTTCCACAGCACCGTCAGCTTAAGGGTGAACGGGGTGGCGAAAGCAACTTCTGTCTGAATTTTGAGCGACGGGCTAATCTTCTAGGAGGAGAATGGAAGACAGAGGCCTTCGTGATTTTAGTAGGAAAAGGAGTGTCATGTCTTCAACACACTGATGGATGCCCCATCGGTTTTGCCGCAGGAGGCTATTTGGCTGGATGCAGACTACATGGAAAACCTGAAACCCTTTACGTACGACAGGGGCAGGTTTGCTGGTTTGCCAGAGTTCGCTCAAGACCTTCACAAGCGAGACATGAAGTTTATCCTCACCGTGGTGAGTTACCTTTTTAGAGCGCAGCTCTTAGGCGCCCGTTTCCGGCTTGAGCGGCGTCACCGTCGGCGTAACCGCGCGGTGCATTATGGGACGCGTAACGTCACTGGTGACGCCACTGATGACGTCATCAATGATGATGACGATGCCTATGACGTCATCAGTGACGATGCCGATGCCGATGACGTCATCAGTGACGATGCCGCTGACGGCATCAGGGACGTCACAGATGACGTCACCAGTGACGATGACGATGACGGCGTCATCACGATGCCCATGACGTCATCACGATGACCTCACCATCACGTGACCTCACAGGGGTCACGTGACCCCGTGAGGTCACGTGACCCCTCAGTACCCTTCCCTCCTCCTCCTCAAAAGCTGCGCTCTAACTCGACGTTACAGGGAGTTGTCAACGGCTTTCTTTTTTTTTTAAAGATCAGCTTACTTAGCTGGGGAATTCAGTCTTCTACTTGCGTCATATCTCGCAGGGTTAACTTTCTAAAAGCCTGTTTCAAGCCATAACAAAATCAGACATCCCTACGTCTTCCGGCTTTAAAATAAAAAAGGCGTTTCGAACTATTATAACTTCTTGTACACAAACAGCATCCCGGGATCGACGCTAACCTCGAAAAAGGCTCCTACTTGCCCTTCGACGAGGGACACAGAATGGCCGTGTTCGTGCGGTCCGAGTCCGGGGACTACAACTACGGCATGGTGAGTGTAAACACAAATTCAGAACACCCCGCGCGCGAGTGCACAAACAACGTTACGATTATATACGACGACCCAATTAGAGGAAGCCACACTAGGGCACCCAAAGAGCATGCAATAGCATTATAAAACAAGCTCATGGCTATGAGGAGCGCAAGTCCGTCTGCTTCTTGCAGGGGGGTTGCGATGATGTCAAAACGCCGAGCTCTTATTAGCTGATTGAAAAAATATAACGAGTAGAGCTCAAGACATCTAGCAGTCAGGTCTACCCACTATCCTTCCAATCAGAGCACCTAAACTCTTGCGCAAGAAGCAGACGACTTGCTCTCCGCATGCTGCGCTTCGCAGTAATTCTGACCGCAGCAGACGCTAAAATTTGATGGAGCCAATCACGCAGCCCCAAAAGTGCACCATCACGGCGCGCATCGTCTTTGTTTGTTTTCTATCTCCGATTGAACCAATCACACACAATAAATGCTCCGTGATTCGAGTATTTTGTGTTTGTTTTGTTTGCCTGGTTGGTTTAGACGTCGGCAGCAAACCCACAAAGACAAGGGCCGTGACGATTTACTTTTGGCGCTGGTTCACTGCGTACATTCGATCTGACTAACGTTGACGTTTGGGCTGGTTGCTCTTTAGAACGTAGACGAACAACAGCTTTGACTTACGGCTGAAGTTTATTTGTGCTAACGTCGAGTATGAATACTGCAACGCCAAACAAAGAAACCAAATGGAAAGACGACAATTCCGAGGGCACCTAAGCACTTCCTACGAGTTCTGAATGTAAAACCATTATCGGTGCCAAGAGGAGCAGACACGGCCGCAGTACCTGCAGGGAGTACGGCGGTGCGCCGCGCAGACGGCGCTGGCTCTCTGGTGACTGCTGTGCCGCTGGATGAAGCAGCGGCGGGAGTGCGAAGCTCGACGCGGCGCCGGAGTGCGTGACGATGCATCTGCGTTGCTGTGCTTTTCTTTGTGTTTTATTTCTGAGGCGCGTCTGCTTTGACCTCGAGCGGCCTCGCATGCCTCCTTGACGAAGCATCTGATAGGACGCGTCGCAGCGAATGGGAATTTAAGGCTCGTTTTGCTGCTACAAACAACGCCGGTTTCGCTTCATGAGATCTTCCTGACATTAAACATGGCAGGAAGATTCGTTGGTGGATTCTTAGAGAATGCGTTACCATGACCCTTGGGAAACGTTAGCGCTGGCCCTTTAACTTTCCTCTTTTAAAATTTTCTTTTGGCTTTCTCTTTTGCTTATTTGCTTTTTTCTCTGCCTCTTTTTGGCCCCATTATAGGGTTAGTGTTAGCGTTTCCAAAAAAGGGGACGTGTGTGGCCTTTCCCTAGGACCATGCTAACGAGTTCCCTAAGAATCCACCAGTGGATCTTCCCGTAATTTTTTCGCCTCCTTTTATGTACTACGTCTGTCAGAGTACGTCGACGCCCTTGGATAGGGTCATTCATATCAGTCGTGAAAAGAACCACATCCATACCACTCATGGAAAGGACCGCATTCAAATCACTCGTGGAGAGAACCGTATCCATCGTTTTTAACTACAAAAACACATCACAGCCCACGCACCGCTACTACGGAAACGCAGAGTGAAGAACAACCGGCGACGGCAGAGCGGCAACTGAGCACGCCCGCATTCCACCGCGCCGCGGTGCAACACCTCCTGATAACAAAGTGGTAGCGCTGAACGAGACGGCGTCATCAGAGAAGGCAAACGCTGGGCTCTGTTTGACACGACGATTGCGTCAACGTTCGCCTTAAACTTGACTCGAGGCCGAGCGCTGACGCAGCACTCGATTGCAATCGGTGTCTAGCGTTGACCTTCTCTGATGGCGCCATCTCATTCATTAATATGGATTTGTTATCTAGGTGTGGCGAGGCGCCTCCTCCTCTCTGGCTCTGCGCCAGCTGTGCGCGTGACTTTGACGAAAACAAAAGCTTGCTTGGACGACAACCCGACGGTGTCTGTTAGTTTGACAGCGCCGGGAAGAGAGGGCGAGGTCGACGAGTGCTGACGTCAGCGCTTGGGAACAATGGGAGCGTGCACGTGTCACCCGCTCCACCTCCTTCTCTCTCTTTCTTCCCGTCGCTGAAAAACGAAAGTCACCGCCGAAAGTCACCGAAAGTCACCAAGCACTTTAATACCAACTCGTTAAAGGGACGCCACGTGCTCCTTAAGCCACTGTCACACATTGCTTCAGTGCACCTAAAAAGTAACATTCTTTATCTGACAGATATAGTGATGCTGCGCTGGCACAGTTTGGTCCTTAATTGTCTCCCAATTTCTCGTGCTTCTATCATTTCTCGAGTGAGCTTATTTCTTTCTAATCACTTCGCACTTGTCAAAGTTGGGACTGTACTGAAGGTCACGCCAATGTGAGCCCAGAAGTTCTCTACTTATCCTCTCCTAAGTGATCATTTAGGCATCCCCCGTTTTTTTGACGTACTACGACCTCTCGACAGCGGCATGGAGTACACAACACACTCTACACAAGTTTCAAATCAGTCATGGTGTATCTTTGTGCATTCCTGCTTTTCTTTTAACATTAAAGTTGACCTTCGTAGAGAGCCCAGACAGCTTTACGAGAGCTGAAAAAAAAACACATCGACACCAACCCTACGGTCAACTTCCTTCAGGTTATGTGGAATCTTATGGAGGTAAAGTAAAATGGTAACTTTTTTTTAAGCAGTATTAGCTTGCACAGTAGTTATCTGACATCTTTTCATAAGCAAGCTCTCAGCAACTGGCGTCAACAAGTAAGAAAAACTCTCCGCTGCCCCGAGCCTTGAAGCTTGTCTCTCAGAGATTCAATTACCTTTGTGAGGGCGGGACTTGAACTGGGAATTCCTAAAACGGAGGTTAATAATTCCTCTTTTCACGAGCTTCGAATGCACTGAGGTTCCTTAGCCATGGCGTCATACAACCAGCACACATGTATATTATCAAAGTGAAGGCTCAGATCCAAAACCCTAACGGCCCTATTCACAAATACTTCATTATTGAAAAGCAGTTGTTCCAAACACTCTTGAAGGGCTTAAAATGCACAAGACACCTCGGCCTTAAGACCTTTTTTGTCAGAATATAGGAAATGCTAACAGCTCTGCATATATGTTGCTATGGACAGAAGAAATGCAGGACCCTATGCACTTAACATTTCTTTCAATAAAGACGCCGTCATTCCATGTTACGAATGTCGCATTTAGATAAAAGGATAAAAGTTTTAAAAAGTGATTTACGCTCAGTAAACATTCATTCTGAAAGTCCACGGAACAATGACTGTCAATACTGTCTTCGACAGACGCCAACAGATTGTTATGGGGAATCAAGTAGTGCAAGTCTTGTATACATCTGTCGAGCAATTCAACAAGCTTCGGACGGTTTGGTCATTAAAAAAATTATATGATTTAATCAGAGTTTTTCATCCAGAGAAGATCATCAAACACGAACATGTTCAATTTTAGTTGCAGAAAGGAAGCCACAGATTTTCGCAATGTCCCGTTCTCCGACACTATAGCGCGCAGTAGACAGTCAGACTTTTGCGTCCTAGCAGAAAATACTAACTCCACACTTGAGCTTTTTGGCCTTATCGACCACTTGGCCCAGTTTACCTAGGTTCATCAATTTGCAAACTCTACGTGCGCGAGCCTTTACCTGTGGTAGTGTCACATCCTCCCGACGTATCAAAATGGCCATAATGGCGTCAAACGCTTTGGACATGAACATCCCCCCAGAAACTACCGCAAACCCTCTATTTATTCGCTGGCAAAAGCGACAGGGGCTCTTTTTTTTAAGTAAGCGACAGTGGTTCTCAGCGGAACCTTAAACCTAGAGGGCTTTCAGTCTAACCAACATGTACACACCTTCGGAAATACATCTTTCCAGCTTTGATTCCGGAGCCCGTCCGGAAACCTGTTTCAACAATGCTATAGCAGCTCGGGATGCGATTTTTTTGGCTCGACAGCAAACTTGGGGCTGCGGCTCAGGACTCGTTCCGCATTGACTGGAAGTTCGACGCCCCCAAGTTCTAAACCAGTTTTCCCACAGCTAGCGTTGTCTTTGCTCTATTTTTCATTTGTACCCATAGTATCGTAGCTTGGCTGCGGTCGAAAGGTAGTTTAGTTTGCTCTCCTACCCTGCCACGTGGTGGCAGCTCGTTCCTAATTTCCGCAGTGGGCATAAAACTTAATATAACCAATACTATTCTCGATCTTTGTGTTAAAAAGACAAAAAAAAAAAAAAGCTTCATTTTGCCGACCTCCAATCTCAAAGGGTTTGCCGCAAGTCTACTCATGGACAGTTACCAATTCAACAGGATCAAAGGGGCATGTCCAAAAGTCACTTTGCCTGCCTTTTTTTTTCACTTAGGAGAATTGTAAGAGATGTTACCATTCAAAGTTAATTCTACGTTGAGTTGCATGCCTATTCTTGGTGAGACAGCATACCCTGTTCTTTACAAATATTGTCACAAAAAATGTTTATCACTCAAATTACACACAAAAAAGTCCCGGCACGTTTATTCCCGTTTGAACCCGTCCCGTCCTGACCTATTCCCGAAACGACCTTCCCGTTTGAACCTGTCCCGTTTCAACCCGTTCCCGAAACGCCCTTCATATTTGAACCCGTAGCCAAGAGATATTTTACGTTTGAAATTGTCCCGTTTGAACCCGTTGGCATAAAGCCCCGCGCACTCAACCTCTTCGCGAAAAGTGTCCATCGTTCTAATCCTGGTTTACGCAGTTTTTCTGTTTAAGAATGTGTCCCAAAATCATGTTAATGCAATTAAGGCAAAGGTGCAGGCGAGCCATTCAGTTATGTTGTGAAATATTTTTGCTTGTAAACGTATTCTTAAAATATGCAATACTTTCAGACAAGCTTCAACGAAATATATTTCTACTTGTTTCTTTCAAGATGGTCCCCAAAATGTGTAACTACGAAATGGACTATATACACTGCGCGACAACGTTACCACGAACACGATGTGGCGATTTTTCGAATTTCACTTCGAAATGGTATTAGAAGATACCACATTTTACCGCTTAGGTTAGTGGCCCAGATGAGCACTTTCAGAACGCACTAATAATATTGATGGCAGTCTTTTGATTTTTTTTAGACAAACAGCTAAAACCAACAATCGCTTGTTCGCGCTAACGGTTTCGCGCTCTGTACAATAACAAGGAGCTTTCGTAGACCGTTTTCGAAGTCACGCGACGCTCCTCCACAACCCGCTGCGGTATTCAGAACTCTACAGTCAAGGCCATCGGCGCGCAGGCGCAGTACCTGCTTCTTCGTTGCGGAGGGCTTAGCGAAAGCGGAAACGCGGTCTACGAAAACTCCCCAATAAAGTCTTAAAGTAACGCAGGCAGGCACTTTGAGTAAGCAAAAATTAGCGTTGCCTAAGTTTTTATATCGTGACGCTATATTTAGGTTACCCAAAGCGCTTGCGTACATTATTCTAAAACTTCCTTATAGTGAACGGGATATTTTTAATAGTGATAAATCAGACCGGCTGACGTGCACATGATTGCCACCTCATTTTCTTACAACCGTCGCCTACAGAGGCAAAAATCATAAACCACAAAATGCTATCGCCTTGGTTGAGGAAGTTGAGCAGGAAAATCGCGCCATCATAAAGGCGACACTCCAATCGTGATAGTTCGCGGCGGTCACCTTGCCCGCACGGCACCACCATTTGCAAGCTGCTGCGGCGACATCCTTATTAAGGCCTCATCCCGTTTGCAGGTTGATGAAGTTGTAAATGTTCGGGTGAGCCCTCCCTGACACAGCGTTTATCTTACGATGCCATGTCTACGAGGTTGTTTCGGGAGAGAAAGAAGTGATGTGAGCAAGGAGAACAGACACTGGACACTTCAACTTAATCAACTGTTAACGAACAATACAAACGAACCGAACGATGGCCGAAGCGGGTAGGTTGTTTCGGGAAAGGGCGAAGTGGGAAAGGATGAAACGAAAAGGTCGTTTTGAGTCGGGTCGAAACGGGAAGGTACAAACGGGAAGGTTGTACTGGGAATGGGTCGAAACGGGAACAACCCGCCCAGGACCCTTGACCGATACCAGTTTGTTACTACCAATGAGGCAAATTCTTGCCTCAGTGCCGTCACTTCTGGTGTTCCCCGGGGGTCCGTTTTGGGACGCCTTCTGTTTCTTATTTATATTAATGACTTACCAATGTACGTATCATCCCCTATTAGCTTATTCGCAGATGATTGTGTAGTATATCGTGAAATTACTAACGAATCCGACGCGGCACTTCAAGCAGATTTATGCGCGGTATCGGAATGGAGTAACTGTCGGCTAATGACTCTGAACACTAACAAATGTAAAACTATGAGGGTGTCTCGTCGTACCACATCACCATCACCATACTCAGTATGTAAAATTCAGCTGGCATCTGTAACCTCCTTCAAGTATCTCGGTGTTCACGTCACTTCTGATCTATCGTGGAAAACTCATTCTGATCATATAATCGCTGACGCAAATTCAATGCTTGGATATTTAATAAGAAACTTTCCTTAACCCCTCTGTTCCTAAAACTTCTCTTGTATAGGACTTTAGTACGTTCAAAGTTGGAATATGCCGCAGCTATCTGGGATCCAGGTCACTCAACGTTTGTAACAAACATCGAAGCCCTGCAAAATCGCGCTGCTCGATTCATAGTCTGCAACTATCATCGCACCGCAAGTGTCTCATCTATGAAAATCACCCTAGCCCTGCCTCTTTTTTCCTCACTTCGGAAAATATCTCGTCTATGCCTCTTCCGTAAAATCTATCATTCCAACGCTTCACTGAAAGAACAAACTATTCATTAGCCTTTCATCAGCTCATCTTATTCGTTAGCCCCCCCCCCCCTTTCATTTCTCCCCGCATTGATCACAAACTTAAAGTTGGCATACCTCATTGCGAAACTTCTGTTTACATCAACTCTCTCATCCCTAAAACGTCATCTGAATGGAACCACCTTCCCGCATCATTAGTAACTATTCCATCAATAGATTTATTTAGAAAAGCTCTAACTACTCACTCACTTTCGCTAGGATTATGGGGTACTAACATTTATAACCAAGTTGCCTTTTTGTTAGAATTTTATGCGGAGCCAATATTTTATGTCCACCCCCTGTGTAATACCTCTGGGCCCTGAGGGTATTGAAATAAATAAATAAATAATGTATTTTAGGGAGGGGGGGGAGGGGGAGGACATCGGCAAATTAAAATTCGGATTTTATTCGAAAAATTCGAATTTACCAGAATTTTACCTGTGATTGTTTTTCGGGGTTCTTTCGGAATTTTTCCGAAAACACGGAACCCTAACTATGATACAGGGAGCTCCGGGAAAAAAGATAATTGTATTTTTTTGAGCCCAGGTAAATAAACTTATACATCGCAGAAAGATCAAGCTCCTTGAGAATGTGAACTTAGCGGTTGGTATACAACGCAAAAGTTTGAGAAGGTAACATTGCCTGGATGAAAGGGATGCTGAACCAAACATTTCAGTGTCTATAATAAGTGGCTCACGATCTTCCCACGAGCCAGCTGCCGCCGGTGTGCGCGCACACACACAACGAAATCGACGTCAACATATCCCCCATTCACGCTTATTAAGCGTGAATGGGGGATATGATGACGTCGATTTTGTTGTGTGTGTGCGCGCACACCGGCGGCATAAGCGTGAATGGGGGATATGATGACGTCGATTTCGTTGTGTGTGTGCGCGCACACCGGCGGCAGCTGGCTCGTGGAAAGATCGTGAGCCACTTATTATAGACACTGAAATGTTTGGTTCAGCATCCCTTTGAAAGATAATGGAAAAAAACGAAAGTTCTCGATGAGCCGGCGTTCACTTAAGCCTCATACGTAAAATTAAGAAATGATATTGCGAACGTTCTTGGGATTTTTAAAAGTGAAAAACACTTGCCACCAAGTAAGTATTACTTTCGTTCTTGCTGATAAAGTTGCTTCCTTAAAATAGATGCGACAGTAGCTCACAATGTCTCGTTTTTTGTTTGTTTTTTTACGAAATTATGTTTAGGCGGACGTCGGCTCATAGAGAAAGTTCGGTTTTTCTCAGTTGTCTTTCGATCCAGGTAACATCATGTTCTGAAACTTCCACATTCTTACACAACAGCTTGCGTCCCATTCTCACGGAGTTTGATCATTCTGCGAAGCATACGTAGTTTACTTATCTGGGCCGAAAAACAAGGCCCTCTTTTGTTAAGCCTTATGGGGTCAGTGATGGATGAGAAAATTCAGGAGCTCCAGGGCTTTATGAGGGTACTCTGGGAGACCCCTGGTTATCCAGGAAGACAGACTGATAACCCATGTATTCCAATCATTAACGGCCATCAAGTTCCTTTTATTCAAATAGTTCGTACCGGGACGTTGTGGCCTTCTTTTTCAGGTTGGAAACCGAAGTCGTCTGGTCTTTCCCGACTTTACCCACCCGCTGAGCGGAGACTACTGGAGCAGGATGATCTCCTATTTCCACGATGTGGTGTCTTTCGACGGCCTCTGGCTCGTGAGCAATGCTTTGTGGACCGCAACTTTTCCCGCTCAGTTCTGCACAGAGCATGCACATCTTTTGGGGTCTTTTAGGTCCTTCAAAATGCTCTGCGCGTTTTTATACCATCTGAAAGGGGTGTTGCAACGGAGTTTCCGTACTCCGAAAAAGCATGTAGACCAACGCGCTGCTCTGACGTCATGCCGCGGCGGTGGCGCTGCTGTTTGCACGGCACATGCCCGGAAGCTTCGTCCCACGCAAATCTGGTTTCTGTGAACACGCAGTGCAAACAGCTGGCGCGGGCAAACGCGGGATTGTTTCTGACAATATGGTATATGCTTGCTGGACAAATATGCGAATCTCTCTCGTGTTCTTCAGACATTTCATATATAACTTCAAACTAATATCAATCAGACTTGGTTCTTGCATCTGGAACACCTGAACAAGGAATCACGTAATTTTAACTCTAAGAGTTTTAAGCGCATCTTTGGGACATCATTGTCATTCAATAATTCTTCCCTGCCACGTGCCATCAAGCTCTAGAATGATCTTCCCGAGGCCGTTGTTTCAGTTTCCGACCCAGCACTTTTTCGTTCAGAATTAACCACATATATGCTAGCCAATTAAAAATGTGTAACGATGTTATTTTCTTGCACACTGGTCACTGCATCTATATTTTTACTCGAAATGTTAACGGATGTGCGTATTATAATTATTTTTTATTTAATTATGTGCTTTATGTAACCCAGCTGTGCAAATATTTAGTTTATTCTGTTGCGCGCAGATGTGTATTGATGTTTGTATAGAGTCGGCGTGCTCCCTGCCATTCCTTCTTTGTGTTAACCAGATTATATAGCCCCCCTCATGTAATGCCGACAGGCCTTTGAGGTACTTTGAATAAATAAATAAATAAATAAATAAGTTCCGAGTTCTTGCGTATGTGTAGTACATTTTGCATGAAATAAGTGAACAGTTTAGTTCAGCTGGTATATTTTAGTCGAAAAATAATGGCGCCGTAAATTTCCAGATACAATTTGGTCGACTCCTGACGCACGAGCTTATAAATGCGATACTATTTCTTTCGGCAAGGTCGAAAGAAATAGTATAGTAGAAAATAAGTTGTCCAACTTGTCATATGCCGCTGGGAAAGAAGGAGCATAAAGGACGTTTCCATAAATCGTCGCGTGCTTCGCTCTCGACCACTGCTCACAGAAATTTGCAAAAGGCCTATGTAGGCCATTTTTACGTTCGAAGCTACGGGGTAAATTCTCTTAAGTGCGACCGAGTTACATTGGTCCCTTATGTTCCTGTTGTTTTTGTAAACCCCTTCGCAGAACCTCCCTGAAAGCAAGACCATAGTGCTGAAGTACCTTCATCACCAACCGGAGGCCAACGCTGGCCAAGGATTAAACCCAAGTCCCGCGCAGCGTCCCGCTGAAACTCGTGTCTTCGCTGATTGAACACGAGCCCTAGCAAACGCTGACGCAGCAATCGTTTTCAATGTTCGCCCCTCATTGGCCCTGGCAGGTGACGTTGAGAAATCATTACAGAGGCCTTGCTGTCAAGGAAGTGTTAATTAAGCGTGCCGGCTGTGAAAGGGACCATAAAATGATTTTCCAGCTTTTTTTCAAACGAAAAACCCAATTAATCTTCAATGTTCATAGAACCTTAAGCAGGAATCCGTTTTCGTTTTATTGACTCCATTTTTGCACACACAAAGAAAGATAAATATTTACGTCTGCTTTGCTCTTCGACTCGACCGGACTCGGCCAGCAACGTGTGATATCACGTGGCCGTGACGTAAAGTATGATTTTCTGCCGGAAAGGTAAGTTATCTCAGCCGAGCAAAGGAGCCACGTTGTATACTTGCACAGATCGCCACTGACAACGAAGCTTCTTTGTCGCGGTGAAATTTCGAGGATAAAAGGGACTATTTTCTTCAGTCTTGCCTTCGCAAAGCTTGATGATGTAATTGTGGGATCGAAACCACCCGCCTCACGACAATCGAGCGCGGCTTATGGATTGGACATGAAAACTGCGTGAGCACTCCACTTCGGCTCATAACAATCAATCCCTCTGCCGACACTCGGGTACTGGCTCGTGTCCAAGCACTGCGGTGACGAGAATAGTCGAACTCTATCAAATCCTGGAACTCAGCACGTGTTTTCAACTTTGCCGACCCCAGCGTGTGGTTATGATTAACGTTGGCTACATAGGATAGTCAGCAGACCACGAGGGCGCTTGTTCTGGCTCCGAGTTGAGGGAATCAACGGTGTTCATCTTTCTCGAATCTTTTTGGCGATTGCCATTGCCTAGAAAAAAGGAAAAAAAAAAAAAGAAAACTAAGGCAAGTTCGTTTAGTTATCAACTTTAGGGAGTGATTCTAAGCAGTAATTTGCGAAAGCATAAAAATCGTTCCATGGGTCCTTTAAGGACCTGAACGAGCCGTCCAGCCTGTACAACGGGTCTGAGCGCGGCTGCCCGTCGTCGGTGCTCGAGGAACCGCCTTACGTTCCCGGGGAAGGCCGCGAGGCGCTGCGAACCAAGACCCTGTGCATGAGTGGGAGGCACTTCCTCTCGCGCCACTACAACCTGCACAACCTCTATGGTTACACCCAGACCCTCCGGACCTACGAGTGAGTTGGGCGCTCGCCTCGCGCTTCGCTCACGGTGCCGGGAGCGTGTCGCCGACCTGGTGAACTTACCGCGTCCCCATTTGTGGTCTCTTGATGTCCGCTTGATACGTCACACTTGTGTCGCGCTGTTGCCCAATACAATGCTGGCGCTGACACAGCGGCCGAGTGAGATTGGGCAGACGACTGTTCTCTTGCAGGTCGCTTGATACCCTTACAGACCATAAAAACTTCACCAGCTACGAGTTAGGACGCCGCGACGAGAGCGACACTTGCGTTCGCTCCCACCTTTTGCAGGAACTTTCACGACGAACCACCAGGGTCGCAACAACACACAGCGTTGCAGACCGTTTTTTGTAACGTAATTTCTTGCCCCTTCTAAGCCACTTTCGGTACATTGACGGTATAGGAGAAAAAACAGACCAGTCGTAGACGTGATCTAGGCGCAGTGGTGCGGTTCCCTATGGAACACCTGTCGTGGTCTCTAAACTGATCGAAAGCGAAGGAATCTCATACTTAGATTTATTGCAAATAAAGCCAACTGAGTAATATAACGCAGTCGAGGGACAAAATGTACTAATAAATGCTTTAACTTCCAATCCGAAGACAAACAGCGCCGAGGCGGAAAGAAGCAAAACAGAGAGACTCAAGTAAAGAAAGTTTCAGATGTATGCGTGCAAGTTTATCCATAATCTGGGTTTTGCCTTCTGAAGTTTTTTGTTGTGCAGCTAGACATACTTTTGTGATGATTCTCGAGAAGGGACACCTCCGTAATGCTCCCAAAATTTGACGGGTATTTTTGTTTTCTTAGGCTTGGCTTTTATGTTAATTTTTATCGAGAATCCAATTTTAGTTTTACCATTATACTTTTGGGGCTCCTGGTCAGTTGATGTTGGTATATAGTCAAAGAAGTTAAATTAGCGCAAAAAGAATAGATCCACCGCTGATTTTTTAGTGATCAAACCTTCACATGAAGAATTGTGCTTTTGGGAGAACGCTGAGCAAGCCGACCTTCAGTCTGAGTCTCCCTGGCGCGCGCCGCCATATCTTCCCAAAGCGCCGCCACGTCCTCCTTTTGTATTCCTTTTGTTTCTTCCGTCTGTTTGCAATCTTTTTTATAATCTTGCCTAATCTTCGATGCACCCCCATCTTCTCGGAGTTCTCTTTCCTGCCTCCTTTGTTTCGTTGTTGTTGTTTTTCTTTGTTGTTTTTTTGTAAGTTTTTGATAATTTAACAACTATTACTCTTGCATACGACGCTCGCAACGTGGCGCTCTGAAATCTGGGCTTTCCTCCGAATGAATATAATTCTGCATTAAGACATTTGATATCTTTATTATGAGCGTTAGAAACCCAAAACGGCAAACACCTCATTCACGTGCCTTCAATGCAATCTAAGATATTAAAGACCATGCTTTGTTGCTTAGGACGAAACAAGTCATAACCTTTCAAAAACATACACCGTCTGTTTCAGCTCCTTACGGCAGGTCACCTTGCGCCGACCGTTTATCATTTCCCGGTCAACGTTCTCGGGCCAGGGTCGTTACTCGGGGCACTGGAGCGGAGACATCGAATCTGACTGGGACTCCCTCCGCTCTTCCATATCGTGTAAGTATAGGGTACACGTGGAATCCGTCTTTGACTGGTGTGTTTAGCGTCCTATACCCCCCGTGGATCGAAGTTTCGACAAAACTGCATCAAATTACGTAAATAAAAGTTAATCCGAAGGCGAGCCCACTGAAAAAAAAACAGAGATACGGAAAAGAACGAGGAGAGGTAGCGCAACAACGTAATAACAATACGTTTCGAAAGCCGCGGGATGAGCATCAGAAATAGTCAACCTGGTCAACTTGTCTTAGAAGGGATGGAATAGTTGCTGGCGTCGCTGTGTACCAAACAGGCCTCCTGTACCAGCGCTGGCTGGACGTTCGATCGGCTGTGTCAGAAACACAGGGCAAGGCGTGGCCTATTGAACTGGTTAAGGCGAGCGTGTTGTGATTATGAATACTTAAAATCGAAAGATTAAAAACACGAAGAACATTCACAGACAAGCACACTCTTTCATAGAGTTGTTGTGAAAGGGTGTGGTTGTCTGTGAAAGTCCTTCGTGTTTTTAATGTTTTTATTCTTTCCATTTTAAGTGGCCTATTACGTTTCTTAGCTCGTGGTTGGCTCCTCGATGTTCTTGTCACATGATACCGCAGTCTGATTGGCTCTGGGGGAATAATTAAATGCTCAGGACTCGAAACGCCCTGCATTTCCTAAGCTGCCAGTTTTTGCGTCCTGCTAGAGAGCGCTGATGAAGCAAAAGAAAAGTCTGCTGCCTCCGCCGACGTTATATTCTCGGACAGGTGACTGCCTGCTATGACCATGGTTCGTAATGTCCGCCGACAAAAAAATTATGTGTATCAGATAAAATAAAAAGAGGTGAATAAACCAAGTAGATATGTGTTTCAAGCATGTTTCCACGCACTACTGTCTTGTGCGCAATATCACGCTGGAGCTCACCATCTGCAGCCTGACCGAAAGCGTCGCTTTGGTCAGCCTTTCATGAACGGTCTTGAGCTCGCTGTAACATTGTTATACTTCGTTTTACCTTAAAACAAACTAACCGAGAGGCAACAAGTGCCAGCGGGTAGCTTTGCCTGGTGCTCCAACTGCACAAAGGCTCTTGCAGCAGTAGCGCCGATCACAACAATCAGCTCGCTCTTGTTGAGTAAGTACCATGAACCAGCCGTCTTTGCGGTTAGTAATTGACAAGTGGAGACGAACTATAGCAGGATTCTGTTTAATTGCATACACAAAATTAAGGGGAATATCAGTTTGTCGCCAAAACCAGGGGTGTACTACATTTACCGTTCGTTCAGCAGGAAGGCCGACGATGCGAAAACACGAACGATACGAACATCATGCGCTTCCTCGCATCGTCGGACATGCGCCTGCGGCACGAGTGGTAACTTTAGTGCATCCCCGCGCCTCCCACCTGCTTCGAGTCGTCCAAAAATACTGATTTAGGAGTTTTCCGTGACACTCAGCATGTTTCAAATTCAAACCATGCGTTTATTTAAAATAATTAAGGGATTGCTTAATTTCAGGTAATTATTAATCTGATTCGTAGCTTTTGGCAGTCCTTGACGTACGCCGTGACCGGCAGTTTGTTTATGAAGACAGTTTCGCTTCTTTTCTGAAACACCTTACTTTTATGAATGTTTAAAAGTCTTCGCAGAAACACCCTGTATATTGGTTTAATTCTGTACATTTTTGTTTTTTGTGCTTACGTTGCCATGGTAACAGAACCAGTCGTGCTGACGTGCACTCCCATGAAGTATGAGTCAAATTCCTGTTTACTGGGTTTACATATTTTTTTCTGTTAAAATATGTTTTTTTCGGGATTTCTTTTTATCGCAGATTCGGTGTTTTTCGGTGCAGAAAAAAAAATTGCTGTTAATTGGATTCCTTAATCCGAAGTTGCGCGTGACTCGATAACTTAAAAAAACGTTCCTTGTACTGATAAGGGAACAAACGAGACAAATGGTTTTGTTCTCGAAGACTGTAGTAGCGTCGCAGCGGTTTAGTGACGGTTGTGTTCTGGACGTAGAAAAATTTTTGTTCCGGCTAAGTTTCGGATTATTTTATTCAAGGGCCTCTATAACTCGGGCTCTTTCGGCTTTCCCCGATTTTTGTCAAAACGGTCTCGGGAAGCCCGTTTTCGGGGCCTATAAGTATGCACGGAAAACGGAAAACTGTATAGGTACGGCGGAGAGACGGGCACAATCTTCGAATTTTGAGTTTCCGTCACAACTTACGAAAAATCTTCAGCCTTTCCAGCGAAGCTGTACTATGGTGGGAATAAAGTTTTTATAAATGTGAGGATTAAGGTGTGATGGTGTAAATGGGTATTTGAGCGATTAAAGAACCATACATATAGAACACAGAACATAGCTTTATTGATACAACAATCATTTTTTCAGAATACAATTAGCGGCGAGATGTTTTGGTGGCGCCCTCCTATGGTTCCCCTTTGTGACGTCATTACCTTGCGAACAACAAGTTCGATGGTGTTTGAAAATTGCATGGTGGAAGCCTGAAATCATTGCGCTCTCATAGCAACACTGCCAACACCGTTGAAATTAAAGTTCTTTCATTCCTCTTATTTCCATCGATGGTATACCCTTTCCGACGTCATAGTCAGCTTTTGGGCCAATCGTGGAAGGCCGACCACAGCGACGCTTTCGGTCGCGCACGTCGCCAATAGCGAGCCGGAATAAGCCTCAAGGGCTTGTATATATATAACGATCCAGGGTACTTATTGATTTCGTAACCACGAGGACGACGTCCTCGTGGTTACGAACGAAGACTTTCGCGAGGACGTCTCGGACGACTTCAAGGACGACTTCTTGGACGACCTCAAGCATAACGCCTAGAGGATGACGTCTAGGACGACCTCAAGGACGACTTTTAGGACGACCTTGAGGGCGACTTTTAGGACGACCTGGAGGACGACCTTAAGGACGACTTCTTGGATGACCTTAAGGACGACTTCTTGGACGACCTTAAGCATGATGCCGAGAGGACGACGCCTAAGACAACTTCAAGGACGAATTCTAGGACGACCTCGAGGGCAACTTTTAGGACGACCTCGAGGACGACCTTAAAGACGACTTCTTGGACGACCTCAAGCATGATGGTTAGCGGACGACGTCTAGGATGACCTGAAGGACGAATTCTAGGACGACCTCAAGCATGATGCCTAGAGGAAAACGTCTAGGACGACCTCAAGGACAAATTTTAGGACGACATCGAGGGCGACTGTTAGGACGACCTCGAGGACGACCTTAAGGACGACTTCTTGGATGACCTTAAGGACGACTTCTTGGACGACCTTAAGCATGATGCCGAGAGGACGACGCCTAAGACAACCTCAAGGACGAATTCTAGAACGACCTCGAGGGCAACTTTTAGGACGACCTCGAGGACGACCTTAAAGACGACTTCTTGGACGACCTCAAGCATGATGCCTAGCGGACGACGTCTAGGATGACCTGAAGGACGAATTCTAGGACGACCTCAAGCATGATGCCTAGAGGAAAACGTCTAGGACGACCTCAAGAACAAATTTTAGGACGACCTCGAGGGCGACTTTTAGGACGACCTCGAGGACAATGTCTAGGACGACCTTAAAGACGACTTCTTGGACGACCTCAAGCATGATGCCTAGCGGACGACGTCTAGGATGACCTGAAGGACGAATTCTAGGACGACCTCAAGCATGATGCCTAGAGGAAAACGTCTAGGACGACCTCAAGGACAAATTTTAGGACGACCTCGAGGGCGACTTTTAGGACGACCTTAAAGACGACTTCTTGGACGACCTCAAGCATGATGCTTAGCGGACGACGTCTAGGATGACCTGAAGGACGAATTCTAGGACGACCTCAAGCATGATGCCTAGAGGAAAACGTCTAGGACGACCTCAAGGACAAATTTTAGGACGACCTCGAGGGCGACTTTTAGGACGACCTCGAGGACAACGTCTAGGACGACCTTAAGGACGACTTCTTGGACGACCTCAGGCATGATGCCTAGAGGACGACGTCTTGGACGACCTCTAGGATAAATTCTAGGACGACCTCAAGGAATTCTAGGACGACCTCGAGGGCGACTTCTAGGACGACCTCAGGAACACGTTTAGGACGACCTTAAAGACGACTTCTTGGACGACCTCAAGAACACGTTTAGGACGACCTTAAAGACGACTTCTTAGACGACCTAAGCATGATGCCTAGAGGACGACCTCAATGACGAATTCTAGGACGACCTCGAGGGCGACTTCTAAGACGCCTCGAAGACAACGTTTAGGACGACCTTAGGGATGACTTCTTGGACGACCTCAAGCATGATACCTAGAGGACGACGTTTAGGACGACCTCAAGGACAAATTTTAGGACGACCTCGAGGGCGACCTAGGACGACCTCGAGGCATACCTCGGCAAACCTCACTCATGAGGGCCCTCACTCACCCTTACTCACCCTCATCTTCACAGGTGAAGTGAGGGTGAGTGAGTTTCTGAACCAGGAAAATTCATGAGTGTGAGGGTGAGTGAGGGCCGTGAGGGCTGTGAGGGCCGTGAGGGCTGTGAGGGCCGTGAGGGCTGTGAGGGCGGTGAGGGCCGTGAGGGCCGTGAGGGCCGTGAGGGCCATGAGGGCCGTGAGGGCCATGAGGGCCGTAAGGGCCATGAGGGCCATGAGGGCCATGAGGGCGGTGAGGGCGGTAAGGGGTATGAGGGCCATGAGTGCGTGGGGGCGTGAGTGCGGTGAGTGGCGTGAGGGCCATGAGTGCGTGAGTGGTGTGAGGGCGATGAGTGCGTGAGGGGTGTGAGGGCCATGAGTGCGTGAGGGCAGTGAGTGGCATGAGAGGTGTGAGAGCCGTGAGGGCGGTGAGTGCATGAGGTGCGTGAGGGATATGAGTGCGTGAGGGCGCTGAGTGCGTTAGGCCCCCTTCAGATCGAGCATCTTTCTCAGCAATTTCGGTGTTAATGGCGGGTTGTTCTCTAGCTTTCCCTAGATCGACACGAATTGCTGAGATCGGGTCCGGCTCGAAATAAGCA